AAAATACGTAATTACAAAGACTACAAACCCCAAAGGCGCACATTTTCTCTCAATGAATGAAGCTAACTTTACTGAAGCTAACTTTACTGAAGCTAACTTTACTGAAGCTAACTTTACTGATGCTAACTTTACTGAAGCTAACTTTACTGAAGCTCACTTTACTGAAGCTAACTTTACTGAAGCTAACTTTAGTGATGCTAACTTTACTGAAGCTATGGTAACTTTACTGAAGCTAACTTTACTGATGCTAACTTTACTGAAGCTGACTTTACTGAAGCTAACTTTACTGAAGCTAACTTTACTGATGCTAACTTTACTGAAGCTAACTTTACTGAAGCTCACTTTACTGAAGCTAACTTTACTGAAGCTAACTTTAGTGATGCTAACTTTACTGAAGCTATGGTAACTTTACTGAAGCTAACTTTACTGATGCTAACTTTACTGAAGCTGACTTTACTGAAGCTAACTTTACTGAAGCTAACTTTACTGAAGCTAACTTTACTGAAGCTCACTTTACTGAAGCTCACTTTACTGAAGCTAACTTTACTGAAGCTGACTTTACTGAAGCTAACTTTACTGAAGCTAACTTTACTGAAGCTAACTTTACTGAAGCTAACTTTACTGATGCTAACTTTACTGAAGCTAACTTTACTGAAGCTAACCTTACTGAAGCTAACTTTACTGAAGCTAACTTTACTGAAGCTAACTTTACTGAACCTAACCATACTGAAGCTAACTTTACTGAAGCTAACTTTACTGAAGCTAACCATACTGAAGCTAACTTTACTGAAGCTAACCATACTGAAGCTAACTTTACTGAAGCTAACTTTACTGAAGCTTACTTTACTGAAGCTAACTTTACTGAAGCTAACTTTACTGAAGCTAACCATACTGAAGCTAACTTTACTGAAGCTAACCATACTGAAGCTAACTTTACTGAAGCTTACTTTACTGAAGCTAACTTTACTGAAGCTAACTTTACTGAAGCTAACTTTACTGAAGCTGACTTTACTGAAGCTGACTTTACTGAAGCTAACTTTACTGAAGCTTACTTTACTGAAGCTGACTTTACTGAAGCTAACTTTACTGAAGCTAACCTTACTGAAGCTAACTTTACTGAAGCTAACTTTACTGAAGCTAACTTTACTGAAGCTAACCATACTGAAGCTAACTTTACTGAAGCTAACTTTACTGAAGCTAACTTTACTGAAGCTAACCATACTGAAGCTAACTTTACTGAAGCTAACCATACTGAAGCTAACTTTACTGAAGCTAACTTTACTGAAGCTTACTTTACTGAAGCTAACTTTACTGAAGCTAACTTTACTGAAGCTGACTTTACTGAAGCTAACATTACTCTGAAGCTAACTTTACTGAAGCTAACTTTACTGAAGCTAACCATACTGAAGCTAACTTTACTGAAGCTAACCATACTGAAGCTAACTTTACTGAAGCTAACTTTACTGAAGCTTACTTTACTGAAGCTAACTTTACTGAAGCTAACTTTACTGAAGCTAACTTTACTCTGAAGCTAACTTTACTGAAGCTTACTTTACTGAAGCTAACTTTACTGAAGCTAACTTTACTGAAGCTAACTTTACTGAAGCTAACTTTACTCTGAAGCTAACTTTACTGAAGCTTACTTTACTGAAGCTAACTTTACTGAAGCTAACTTTACTGAAGCTAACTTTACTCTGAAGCTAACTTTACTGAAGCTTACTTTACTGAAGCTAACTTTACTGAAGCTAACTTTACTGAAGCTAACTTTACTCTGAAGCTAACTTTACTGAAGCTAACTTTACTGAAGCTAACTTTACTGAAGCTAACCATACTGAAGCTAACTTTACTGAAGCTAACCATACTGAAGCTAACTTTACTGAAGCTAACTTTACTGAAGCTTACTTTACTGAAGCTAACTTTACTGAAGCTAACTTTACTGAAGCTAACTTTACTCTGAAGCTAACTTTACTGAAGCTTACTTTACTGAAGCTAACTTTACTGAAGCTAACTTTACTGAAGCTAACTTTACTGAAGCTAACGTCTGTCATTGTTTCTATAGTCTTGCGTTATAATCGTCACGTTACGCCGTCATGCCTGAGTGTTTTGTGCCAGACTGCACACACACACGAGCAGCGGATCTCGCTCGTTGTTTCGCTGTCCGGGAGATGTAGTTCATTGAGCGATTTTCACATAAAACTAAATGTTACTCTTCTGTTTTATGACAAACTGCGACTTTCTTGACTTTCAGAATTATCTTTTAAATGGACAAGCCTCACAGCATAATTGCCTAAGTCATATTTCAATGTCTTTGGAAAACAAGAAAAAAAACACAAAATGACTTAGGCAATTATGCTATGAGGCTAACAATATGTGTAATTCAGGGCACAGTTCAGACGGAATAAAAAGATAAGTTGTCTCTCGCCATTGACTACCATACATATTTTTTCCGAAATAAGGTCCCATGAGCCGGAAGCGGAGGGGAGGGACTTAGGCGCTCTAT